CATGTATAATACATAAGGGGGGATATGATCTCCATGTAAAATACATAAGGGGGGATATGATCTCCATGTAAAATACATAAGGGGGGATATGATCTCCATGTAAAATACATAAGGGGGGATATGATCTCCATGTTTAATACATAAGGGGGGATATGATCTCCATGTATAATACATAAGGGGGGATATGATCTCCATGTATAATACATAAGGGGGGATATGATCTCCATGTAAAATACATAAGGGGGGATATGATCTCCATGTTTAATACATAAGGGGGATATGATCACCATGTATAATACATAAGGGGGGATGTGAGCTCCATGTTTAATACATAAGGGGGATATGATCACCATGTATAATACATAAGGGGGGGATATGATCTCCATGTATAATACATAAGGGGGGATATGATCTCCATGTAAAATACATAAGGGGGGATATGATCGCCATGTATAATACATAAGGGGGGGATATGATCTCCATGTATAATACATAAGGGGGGGATATGATCTCCATGTATAATACATAAGGGGGGGTATGATCTCCATGTATAATACATAAGGGGTGGTATGATCTCCATGTATAATACATGAGGGGGGATATGATCTCCATGTATAATACATAAGGGGGGATATGAGCTCCGTGTTTAATACATGAGGGGGGATATGATCTCCATGTATAATACATAAGGGGGGGATATGATATCCATGTATAATACATAAGGGGGGATATGATCTCCATGTATAATACATAAGGGGGGGATATGATCTCCATGTATAATACATAAGGGGGATATGATCTCCATGTTTAATACATAAGGGGGGGATATGATCTCCATGTATAATACATAAGGGGGATATGATCTCCATGCATAATACATAAGGGGGATATGATCTCCATGTATAATACATAAGGGGGGATATGATCTCCATGTATAATACATAAGGGGGATATGATCTCCATGCATAATACATAAGGAGGATATGATCTCCATGTATAATACATAAGGGGGGATATGATCTCCATGTATAATACATAAGGGGGGATATGATCTCCATGTATAATACATAAGGGGGGATATGATCTCCATGTATAAATACATCAGTGGTTCATATAGTGAACTCGGTGTAGTTATTCCCCTGAGGTCATCACAGAGGACAAGGGGGCACTCTTTACATCTGGAGAAAAATAAATGTAATCTCCAAACACGGAAAGGTTTCTTCACAGTAAGAGCTGTGAGAATGTGGAATAGACTCCCTCAAGAGTTGGCTGTGGCCAGCTCAGTGGATTGCTGTAGGAAAGTCCTGGATTCTTTCTTGGATACACAGAATATAACTGGATATAACATTTATAGGTAAAGTTGATCCAGGGAATATCCGATTGCCTCTCGGGGGATCAGAAAGGAATATTTTTCCCAGCAGGAGCAAATTGGATCGTGCTTTGCTGGTTTTTTTGCCTTCCTCTGGATCAACTGTGGGTGTAGGATTATAACTTTTTTTTTTCTATGGTTGAACTGGATGGACTTTTGTCTTTTTTCAGCCAGACTAACTATGTAACTATGTAACTAGGATTGCCCACCCACTTTGAATCTGCTTCTGGCTTGTCCCTTTGGTGCTTTTTATTAGCAGTGATCACACAGTGTCATTAGGATGTCAGTGGCAGTTAGTCAGTTCCCCCCCAGCGTTAGAATGCCCGCCGCCGCGGTCCCACTATATGTCGCTGATCTCCGCCATTACTAGTATAAAACAAAATAAAATATAAATGCCAGTATCTATACCGCCATTTGTAGACGCTGTAACGTTCACATAAACCAATTACTTTACACATCTTGGGATTTTTTGTTTAGCAAAGACAAGTTGCAGAATACATTTTGGCCTAAATTTGTGAAGAAATTAGATTTTTAAATTTTTTTTATTGGACATGTTTTATGGCAAAAAGTCAAAATTATTGCTTTTTTTTTTTTTTTTTTTTTTTAAACTGTTTATCGCACAAAAAATAAAAAAATGCAGAGGTGATCAAATAGCACCAACAGAAAGTTCTATTTGTGCGAAAAAAGGACGTAAATTTAATAATTTCATTTGAGTGCAGCATTGCATGACCACACAATTGTCAGTTAACCACTTGACCTCCTGAGGATTTACCCCCCTTAATTACCACGCCTCTTTTTGCTACTCGGCGCTGCACTAATTCAACTGATAATTGCGCAGTCATGCAATGCTGCACCCAAATGAAAAATTACGTCCTTTTTTTCACACAAATAGAGCTTTCTTTCGGTGGCATTTGATCACCTGTGCGCTTTTTATTTTTCACGCTATAAACAAAAAAAGGCCAAACATTTTGAAGAAAAACTATATTTTTTACTTTCAGCTATAACAAATATATAGTAATCTCAAAGTTGGTTATAAATTTAGGCCAAAATGTATTCTGCTCCATGTTTTTGGTAAAAAAAAATCTCAGTAAGTGTATATTGATTGCTTTGTGTGAAAGTTATAGCGTCTACAAACTATGGTATAGATACTGCAATTTACGCCATTTTTTTGCTATACAGCGCTGCGCTAGTTTAACGGACAATTGTGCGGTCATGCAATATGGTACATAAATGAAATTTACACCCTTTTTTTTCCCCCACAAATATAGCTTTCTTTCGGTGGTATTTGATCGCCTGTGCGGCTTTTATTTTTTGCACTATAAAAAAAAAGGTTGACAATTTTGAGGAACAAAAAAACTATATTTTGGACTTTTTGCTATAAAACATGTCCAGTAAAAAAAATTAAAAAATCAAATTTAGTCATAAATTTCTCTGCCAAATGCATTCTGCGACATGTCTTTGCTAAAAAAAAACCCAATACGTGTAAATTAATTGGTTTACGTGAAAGTTATAGCGTTTACAAATGGCGGGAAAGACACTGGGATTTTTAGGGTTTTTTTATACTAATAATGGCGGCAATCAGCAACTTATGGCAGGACTGTGGGACTGCGGCAGACATTCTGACATAAGGGGGTTACTGACTTGGGGTCACTGACATCCCCAGTGACACCAACACAGTGATCAGTGCAAAAAAAAAAAAAACATTGACATTGACACTGTACTAATGGCACTGGGAAGGAAGGGGTTAAGTTTATTATTCAGGGAAAGGGTTAACTGTGTGAGGGGAGTGTTTTACTAGGGGGCGGGGGGGTGTACTGCAGGGAACACCGCTGATCGGGAGAGAGAAACTCTTCTGTCCCGATCAGCGTGTCCTGGAGCTGTCAGGGAGCTGACAGAAAGCACAGCTACTGCAGCTGTGCTCTCTGTCAGCAATTGCCGCCGATCGCCGGGACATAGCCGGTAAGGACCGGTTGTGACCCGGCAACTGACATCCGCGGCTGTGATAGGCGGGACAGGTAGGGCGGCGGCGCGCCTTGCACGCGCCCCCTACCTGTTTACAAAACACAAGTTTTAAAACGTGGTTTTGCCGAGCCGTGCCGCCCTGCCGCTGTATTTATACAGTGGCTGGGCGGCATGTGGTTAAAGTAACGCAGCGCCATATTGCAAAAAATGGCCTGGTCAGGAAAGGGGGGAAATCCTCTGGAGGGAAAGTGGTTACAAACATTGATTAGACAGGAGGCAGAGAGAGATACAAAGAAACATTGTAACTACTATGTTTCATTTCATTCATCGGCAGATCAAGGGAATAAGCTTCCATCTGCAAATAATGCCAATAAAGTAACCGGACAAGTTTAAAAAAAAAAAAAAAAAAACATTTATACTTTGTATCTAGAGTAATGCTATGTTTACACTAAAACTGAACAAAGTAAAAAAAATACACTTTTTTTTACTATAATAAGAATGGTGGGAAATGAGCCAAGACAGAGCAGAGAAAAGGATTTGGGGTGGGTCGAGCTGCTGCACTTTGAGTTGGGGAAATACTTGGATTGGTTAGGATCGGTTCTCACCTCGTTGTGCTCCAGACATGCAATCATGACCTCAGATAAGATCACAACTCCGGTACGGCCAACACCCGCATTGCAGTGGACGAGCACTGGGGGATTTGGGGTGTTGGGGTCATTTGTGCTGTTTGTATGCCGCCGGACGGACTGGATCTCCTCTAGATAGGCTGAAAGAAATAAGGCACAATGTAATGCACGTATTGCAAGTCATAAACGTGTGTGTGTGCGTATTCCATCTGGCAGTACTAGGGTCGCTGGTTCAAATCCCAACCATGGGACCGCCTGCCTGGAGTTTGCATGTTTCTCCCTGTGTCTACGTGGGTTTCCTCCAGGTACTCCGGTTTCCTGCCGCATCCCAAAGACAAGCTGGTAGGTGAATTGGATCCTGTCTAAATTGGCCCTAGTATGTGTATGTATGAATGTGAGTTAGGGACCTTAGATTGTACACCCCTTGAGGGTTAGGGACTGATGTGAATGTACAATATATATGTAAAGCGCGCTGCGTAAATTGACGGCGCTATATAAGTACCTGAAATAAATAAAATAAATGTGTATACATATACACACACACAATTATATATATATATATATATATATATATATATATATATATATACACACATGTATATACACACACACACACATATATACAGACACACAAACACCCCTTGATACGGAGATGAGGCACTCATGAAAAATGTACGCAAGTAATGCTCACTAATACTAACTTTTAGAGGTCTATGTATTGCCTTTCACCCAAGATTCACACATTGTTTTCATTGGAATCAACTGGGCAAGTGTGTGAATCTCAGTGAAAACATTTATAAATGACCCTTTAAAGTACATTAACATTTTGATGACATTTGTGACTCAGCCCACCTTTTCCAAGGCTGCACCCCACTGATATATTGGTGAGCAATAAAAAAAGCCATGTCAGAAAAAGCATAGAGAGTTCTAGAAGGAAAACAAATTTGGTAAGGGCTGTAGGACAGTTTGCGCATGGCAACAAAGAATACTCTTCTAAAAGTGGCATAATGACACAATGTATGGAGCTTACAGAGAAAGCCCTTCAGATCCTCGGGGTGTCCGTGTTCAGGCCAGTCTGTGTACTGGAGGTGCCACACTGTCCTCTCTTGCCCGGTCAGCAGGTGCTTTATCTTCAGGCCAGTGGTGGCATAACAGCCGGAGTCGGTGCGGAAGCGGGTGGTGATCTTGAACCTCCCGTAGGTGACAGTGTTGTGCCTTGAACCAAGCCTTGGCCAATATCGGTAACTCTTCTCTCGGCCTCCCTCCTTGTGGAGAAACAGAAGAGGGATTTACTGGGATTATTAGCTGAGGACATCCAACTATTACCTTGAAGGCACTACATGACTCCATAGGTTGGTTTGTTTGACTGTACAGTTATGTGGGAAATAGAAGGGATGGAACCTTCTGCCAGAACTATTACCATGAACAAGCACCATGACTTCATAGGTTGGTTTGGTTGGCTATATGGTTATACATGGGAAATAGAAGATATAAAAAGTCTTCTGCCAGAAGTTTTACCCTGAAGGCGCTACATGACTCCATAGGTTGGTTTGTTTGGCTGTACGGTCTTATGGGAACTAGAAAGAATGGAACCTTCTGCCAGAACTATTACCCTGAAGGCACTCCATGATTCTATAGGTTGGTTTGTTATATGGTTATACATGGGAAATAGAAGATTTAAAAAGCCTTCTGCCAGAATGTTTACCCTGAAGGCACTACATGACTCCATAGGTTGGGTTTGTTTGGCTGTATGATCTTATGGGAAATAGAAAGAATGGAACCTTCTGCCAGAACTATTACCCTGAAGGCACTCCATGATTCTATAGGTTAGTTTGGTTAGCTAAATACTTATATATGGGAAATAGAAGGATTATAACCTTCTGCCAGAACTATTACTCCGAAGGAACTCCATGACTCCATATGATGCGTTGTCTGGCTGTACGGTTATTTGGGAAATAGAAGGAATGGAACCCTCTGCCAGAACAATTACCCTGAAGGCACTCCATACCACTCGTTTTGTTTGGTTATATATGGGAAACAGAAAGAATGGAACTTCAGCCAAAACTCTTACTTTGAAGGCACTCTACGACTTTATATGGGAAATAGGAGGGGCAGAACCTTCTGCCAGAAGAGGTGGAACCCATTTATAAAAAAAAACCCACAAACACTTGGTACTGCTTCAAGTTCATCTATTGTAAGCATACCATCTGCAGGCATGTGTGTCTTCAAGATTCGTTTCCTCCCACGCAGACAGATGCAGTGCAATGAAGCTGGAGACCTTTACTTTCCAGAAGCTAAAATAAACATTATTGTTCCAGCACAATGGAAAACACTTCACCCAGCGCCTCCCCAAGCATCTATGATAAGGCTCCAGTAGGAGGGGGCATCAGAGGGAGGTGCTGGGCTCTATTGTGCTGGAACAATAACATTTATTTTAGATTCACAATACTTTATTAATCCCAATGGGAAATTATTATTTACCTTCTTGAAAGTAGCGGTGTGAGGCTTCATTACATTTGTGGTATGGGGGTTTTGCAATGGAAAGTTTGATACATTCACACTCGAAAAAAATAGCATTCACTTGCTGACTCTTATGCAGGCCATACATGGTTCGAATTCCGAATGATTTTCATACGAAAATCGGACCCAAGAACAATCGGACGATTTTCACTCTGTTTTCATGGTTCCTCCCCATTTCGTTTATCGGGCATGCTGGAAAATTCACAAACCAACGTGATTAAAAGCAGTAAAGGTGGTCCACAAAGACAGTCACAATAGGTATATAGGCTTGTGGCCAGCAGGCACATCTCTAGCTCTGAGGAAGGGGGTTCAGCTCCCAAAACGCGTCAGTTTATTCGCATCAATAGACACAGATGTATTGTGACTGTCTTTGTGGACCACTTATACTGCTTTTAATCACGTTGGTTTGTGAGTATATATCCTCTTTTTATTCAATAAATACGTGTTCTACCACGGTAATGCACGATGAGAGTGCGCCCTTGTCTGTTCTTTTCCACTAGTGCTCAGATTTCCCGATCTTAGAAGGGTTGCACCTCTTCGGTTGGCATTTAGGCATCTCCTTGGTTGTATGAAGACTGGAGCGCTGGTTACGTTTGTTTATGCTGGAAAATTCGTGAAAAACGGCTGATTTTCGAAATCATTGGGGGCACCATCGGATTACAGAACAAATGACTTTTCGATTTTCGGACAAAAAATCGTTCGGAATTTGAACCATGTATGTCCTGCATTAGCCTTAAGTGTGTGTATAGGCATTGCTTTTCTTTGAAATGGAGTGGGAAGGTGTTACACCCCCAGTCAGGATTATATTGCTGGGTGTGCAGGAAGGAAAGTCCCAAAAGCAGAACCTATAGTCCAGATTTCATTTTACTCATTTAAGAATCAAAATGCATTTCGGAGGTTCAGGAGTCCTTCATTGGGGCTTGGTACTGTTAAATGAAGCATGTATTGGACTGGTAAATTGGAGGGATCCTGAGGAGTACATACTAGGATTTCTCCAGATGCCAGAAACCATCTAATTGGCATCTGGAACAATATGGCGGCAACTGTCTAAGGGGGAATTTCCCTTCACTCTGGAGGGATTTCCTCTTACTTCCTGATGTGGTTTTGGGACAGGAAGTAAAATGTCCTCCAAAAGGGACACCTGGCAGAATTTCTAACCAGTCCCTACTTTATCCAAAATTGACAAAAAGTCTTTTGGGTTTTGATACACTTCAAACCTAACCCTAAAAAAAAAAATGTATTCTAGCACATTAAACTTGAAGGCAGCAACAACATAACCTCATGAAAATAAAATATAGAAAAAAAAAATATAAGATTTGGCGCAAAATGCAAATGAGATAAAAGATTGGCATACATGGGTAAAGCACCGGTTCAGGTTAAGGTGGTCCAAATTTTGAATAAAAAGAGAATATGAGTGCCACACTTTCATGCAACCTTCCAGAAATATTCCATATTTTCCACCGCTAACATTTTTCTTTTCTTAGTAACTTAGGAGAATAGAAAATCTTTTATTTTGCTCATCTATGGTAAAAGAAATGGTGCGGCTTACCTCTTCCAGCGTTACCATGGCGATGATGGCTACCCCCTGCTCCCAGACCATCTGCCAGAATTCTTGACACGTATTCTGCAGAGGTCCTTGTGTGGCGATGTAATCCCACTCCACGCCGCCAACAGTCACCTATGAAATCAATGCATAAATCAAAAAGGTAACCAGTCAGATTAATTCATAAAGAACCAGGAAGATGGGAGCCGGGGCCGTGGCAGGTGGCGCAGGGAGCCGGGCTGTGGCAGGTGGTAGGTGATGCGGGGGAGTCAGGAGGGGGCAGGTGACGTAGGGAGGTGGCAGGTGACACATGGAAATCGGAAGGTGGCAGCTGACGCGGGGATATTGGGAGGTGGCGTGGGAAGCCAGGGCCTGTGGCAGGTGACAAGGGAAGCCAGCAGGTGATGCAGGGAGGTGCCAGGTGACACGGGGGAGCCGGGGCGGTGCCAGGTGATACGGGGGAACGGGGTGGTGGCAGATGACACAGGGGAACCGGGGTGGTGGCAGATGACACAGGGGAACCGGGGTGGTGGCAGATGACACAGGGGAACCGGGGAGGTGGCAGAGGACACAGGGGAACCGAAGAGGTGGCAGAGGACACAGGGGAACCGGAGAGGTGGCAGAGGACACAGGGGAACCGGAGAGGTGGCAGAGGACACAGGGGAACCGGAGAGGTGGCAGAGGACACAGGGGAACCGGAGAGGTGGCAGAGGACACAGGGGGGAACCGGAGAGGTGGCAGAGGACACAGGGGAACCAGGGAGGTGGCAGATGACACAGGAGAACCAGGGAGGTGGCAGATGACACAGGGATGGACTCACCTTTACATGGGAGGCATTGATATACCCGGTGTTATTTTCTTTAGTTGGGATCAATTCCACCCGAGTATCGTCATAGGGCAGAACATCCTGGAACCGGTTCCGCTCTGCATTCTCAGGCAGCCGTGCTATGGAGCACTCTGTGTCAGGCAGTCGCTTCTTCAGGGTCTGCTCATACTCCGTAAAGACCATGCCTTGTTCCAGCCGCTGCTCTAGAATTTTACACTGTGACAAACATAATGGGGTTAGGTGAATGGCTTCAGGAATGAGCACCTAGTCACAGTTAGAGACAAGCCATGCACCACCAAAGAGGGGAAAGAGGCAGTGAAGTTTGCAAACAAAATTAAAAAAGAAACCGCTTGTAGATGGACAAAGTGTGGAAGGGTTACAACCTCTGTCAGATTTTCACTGCTGGATCCCCACTGAGAAGGGGGCCATAAAAACATGGATCAACCACCTGTTTTTACGGCCACCTGTGTGGACGAGGTCTTAAAAGCACCATAGACAAATCACAGGAGATTTTAAAGCACACCATTTACCCGCTCATCATTGGACGCTTTCATACTCTGATGCTCCTCCCTCTCATCATCTGGTATCGGCATACGGGGCAGGGCAAGACCATTCCAAGCAGCAAGCTTCAAAGGTCCCATTTTTTTAACTTCCGTGCGGATGCCTTTCTTCATACCCTACAATAGTATAAAACAAGCAAAAAAGAACATTTAAAAAGAAATAATAAGCCAAACAAAAATAAAGACAAAAATTCAGCCTGAAGAATAGTCCTTTTAGAAGCTCCAGTAGGAAATGGGCGGACTGACAACTCATGGGGCCCCCGGTTAATAGGAGATCATGGGGCCCGTGTCCTCACCCACACTCAAACCACACCCAAAAAAAGCCTATGAAAAAGGTACTAGGGGCATCTCATGGGTCCCCCTACTGACCCTGGGCCCCCGGGCAGCGCCCAAATGGTCAGTCCGCTCCTGGTAGGAAATGTCTGCCAATTTTAGGGATGCTGACAACAAAGTGCTTTGCAAGCTGCAAACTGGCAGATTACCACAATCCAAATGGGACAATACTATTGTTTATGGGAGTTTATAGGATTTTGTATAGGTTATTATATTTGGCATTCCAAAAAAGTTTAATTTTTTTAGGTATGCAATCAAAAAAAAAATTATTTTATAACCAAAAATTTATTTTTAAAAATTGTTTTTTTTTACATTTTTTTTTTTATATATTAGTATGTAAAAAAAAAGCCCCATAAATAATAATATAAAAAAAAAAAAAAAAATCTTCATCACCCCCAACAAGTAGTACTATGGTGACACTGTATTGCTAGGGTGACAGTATGTAAAAAAAAAACCCATAAATAATGTCACCCTAGCAATACAGTGTCACCATAGTACTACTTGTTGGGGGTGATGAAGATTTTTTTTTTTTTTTACACTGATTGCTTTTACACCCATAAAGGCTGTTAAAGCAATCATCTCTCCTCTCTGGCTGCATTCTTGCAGCCATTCAGAAGTACTGTGATTGGTCACAGCTTGTCACATGGTACAAGGCTGTTGTGAATAGCCCTGTACCATGTGACCTCTGATCATTCACAGATTTCACACGTAGTAAGCTATGAGGTCAGAAGTGACATCTTGCTTACATCTATTCATGTGATCACTGATTGGCCAATCAGTGATCACATGATCGGGACCTCACACAGAGGTCCCGTACAGCGATTGGTGTTCTGCTGTGCCCACCAGATCGCGGTGCCACACGCTTCCAGGGAGCACGCACAATCCAAAATGGCGGGCATTGTTTATGAATGGCAACCCGCCCCTGCACTGCCACCATCAGGCCGTTTATATACAGCGGCCAGACGGGAAGTGGTTAAAGCAGCTATAATATTAGTCCTCCAATCCTCAATCAATATTAAAGTGACTGGAGGTGTACTTACCCCTGAAGGCGGAAGACCCTCAACTATGTCTTTCTTTCCGGACAGGACATCAGACACCGGCCTTTTCTTCATGGGCTCCTTTTTCACTCTATACGTCACTGTGCCAGCGGTGAGATTGGACTCAGATACGGAGGGAGGTATTGTGCCGCTCCCTCTCCTGTTGGACAGGAGGTCTCCTGTAAATTGTAGAGGGCTGACGGTGGTCTGCCGCCTTTCTTTCTCCACCTCCACTGGTTTGTGCTCATAGATATGTAAATGATTGAGCGGCACAGAGCTGTATGGGTAGCTGGGCTCCGACTCATCTGGATAGGTCTCCATGACTGTACGGAGTTGAGAGCGATCATAGTGAGCCGGTTGAGGGACGTTCACCCTGTTGTCTTCTTCCTCATTCTCATCATCATCATCCTCACTGCTGTGAATGAGCATGGTGGCATCCGAGAGGGACTTTTTGTGCCCATACCGGCCTCTTTCATGCTCAGCACCTTGCTCCTCTTTAGCACGCTCCATGTAAACATTGGTTGGCGAATCTGTTGGCATGATTCTTTGTGGTGCCACGTTGGCAGAAGAGGAAGAGGCAGTCCGCTCTTTCACCCTCATCCCTTCGAAACTATGCGTCAGCCCTGCAATTTCTATGCTGTTCCTCTTCTGAAGTTGGGCATGGCGGGCCGCCGTCAGTGGCTCGCTAACTTCTTGTAAGGAATGAGCCACGGGAAGACTATCCTCTTGGAACATCTGCACTGAATGGTGGACCCTCCTGGTGATGAGGTCAGGGTTACTGCTGCTTGTATGATGTCGGGTTAGATCCGGGGTGCTGTTGGCTGGGCGAGGGTATGGATATGGAGGAGGAGGCCGGTATACTTGAGTTTTCATGATGTTGGAGGCTGGGTAGTCTTGGGCCTGAAGCTGGACATTGGTCAGTTCAGGAACACTTACTGCTCCAACTACTGGGCGCCTCTCGGCCTGGTAAGGGTAGGGAGACTGGCTATGAAAACTGTAGTTCAGGTTGAACGGATAATGATGGGACTGTGGGGAGGTGAACTGGGCATGCTCCCGGATTTCAGGTTGACTGTACACCAAAGCATCCGGCCTACTGTACGCGTAGGAATTGCCGATGTTAAGGTTCCTCATCGAGTGGCTCTGCCTGTCCGAATGCATGAAGCCCCTGTTCAGCTGCCTCATCACCGTCTCGTAATCAGGAGTTGGGCGGTAAGAGGGAGGGATGAGGGCACTGTGCCGGTGGGTGGGGGATGTACTCCTGCCTCATGATGTCACTTCCTGTAATGCTGGGATTGGAAGACATGGGTGACGGTTGCATGTAGTGTTGTTGGGTGTTGAGCGAGTTGGTGCTGTGAGCACTGTAGACGCTACCATTCCGGATTCTTCCATTGTAGTCATGAGGACTGTGGTCAAGACTGGTCTGGGAGTGATAGTAATATCCGTTCTGATTGCTCACAAACACAGGCAGATTGTCTGTAATATTCCAAATACACAAAAATAAATAGCTGGTCATATATAGTCACTGCATATTTTCCCTAAAGTATTTAGCCACTTCAATACTGGACACTTTTACCCCCCTTCCTGCCCAGGCCAATTGTCAGCTTTTGGAGCGGTCACACCAGCGCTGGTTGACTTAGCAAGGACTTGTGTCTGCAAGCTAAGTGCCTTGAAAAACATCTTACAGGGTATACATATCAGCAATGACATCACAATGCATATATTTCCCCTCTCACTTTCTGTACATTTAACCGCTTCAATACCGGACACTTTTACCCCCTTCCTGCCCAGGCCAATTGTCAGCTTTTGGAGCAGTCACACTTTGAATGACAATTGCACGGTAATGCAACACTGTACTCATATGACATTTTGCTTTTTTCACAAAAATAGAGTTTTCTTTTGGTGGAATTTATTCACTGCTGTTTTGTTTTTTGTTTTTTTGCTAAACAAAAAAAAAAAAAAAAAAGACAACATTTTGAAAAATAAAAAATCTGCGTTTTTCTTCATTTCTGTTATATCATTTTGCAAGTAAATAACCATTCTTCATACATTTAGGCCAAAATGTATTCTGCTACATATCTCAGGTGAAAATAAACCAAATCAATGTATATTATTTAGTCGGTAGAGCCCACAAACTATGGAATTTATACACTATATTGCCAAAAGTATTGGGCTGCTGGCCTTTCCACGCACAGGAACTTTCATGGCCTCCCAGTCTTAGTCCGTAGGGTCCAATATTGAGTTGGCCCCGCCCTTTGCAGCTATAACAGCTCCAACTCTTCCGGGAAGGCTGTCCACAAGGTTTAGAAGGGTGTCTATGGGAAGGTTGGACCATTCTTCCAGAAGCACATTTGTCAGGTCAGGCACTGATGTTGGGGGGAGGAGGCCTGGCTCGCAGTCTCCGCTCTAATTCATCCCAAAGGTGTTCTATGGGGTTGAAGTCAGGACTCTGTGCAGGCCAGTCACGTTCTTCCACCCCAAACTCACGCATCCCCATAAATCATCTTAGGACTGAGAAAGAGAGGGTGGCTAGGTTCTTATATACCAGTGGTCACTAAATGGCGGACCGTGGTCCGGAACTTGACCAAGGAACAGTCCTGTCCGGACCGTATCCTTCTCCATGCCTCTCACTCAGCCACCAATATCATCCTCACAGTGGGCGGAGGAACTGCAGATTGGGACTGAGGGGCGGGAGCCGCAGATCAGGACTTAGGGGTGGGACTGGTGATTACCCAGTTTGTTAACATGTAAAGACTTCCGCTCTTTGCAGCTCGAGACAGAACATGGGAATCTTTTCATATGAGCAAGCCAGGCAATCGCTCACTTGTTAACAGAATAACTTGGGCAGCTCCCGCCCCTCAGTCATGATCTTCTGCTTCTCCCACCCCCGCCATGAGGATGACATCAGTGGTGGGATGGAGGCTTAGGAGAGGACTCCCCAGAAGGATTAGTGCCTCTGCTCTGCCTAAGGTACCATAGAACTCTGCAGGGGAAGGAATGCATTGAAAGGGGCGCTGTGTTATGTTATAGGGTGCTATGTTGTAATGGGGGTGCAGTGTTGTGATGGAGGAGCTGTGTTATGTTAAGGGGCACATACATATACATATATATATATATTACGCAGCACTTTACATATACAGTATATTGTACATTCACATCAGTCCCTAACCCTCAAGGGGCGTACAATTTAAGGTTCCTAACTCACATTCATACATACACATACTAGGGACAATTTAGACAGGATCCAATTCACCTACCAGCATGTCTTTGGAGTGTGGGAGGAAACTGGCGTACCTGGAGGAAACCCACGCAGGCACAGGGAAAACATGCAAACTCCAGGCAGGTGGTGCTGTAGTTGGGATTCAAACCAACGACCCCAGTGCTGCCAGGTGGAAGTGCTAACCATTTAGCCACTGTGCTGCCCATGGTGCTGTGTTGTGTTAGGGGGCGCCGTGTTGAGGATGGGGGCGCCATGTTGTGGATGGGGGTGCCGTGTTGTGGATGGGGACGGCGTGTTGTGGATAGGGGAGCGGCATTGCGTTAGGGGGCGCGGCATTGCGTTAGGGGGCGCGGCATTGCGTTAGGGGGCGCGGCATTGCATGTGAAAGGTACGCTAAAGAAGATAATGTACTGGGGGACTGTGATGTGTTATATCGCTAACGAGATTCGGACCTCTGCTGGAAGGAATTTTTGCTGTCCGGACCTCTGTAAATTTTAATTCAAGACCCGTTCTATACAATGGGACCATGGAGAAGGTACGTAGTCATCCTCTAACAGGATGTCTGCAGCAGAAAATTAAAAATCTGAAATTTAGGAGGAGGCTTGAAGCAACATAAGGGATTTTTTGAGTTAAATTGGTCATAAACTCTTCCATATACCCAGTGCAGTAACTGGCCTCAGGTGATACACAGATGAAACAAATCCTCCTACATACGTTGTACCTGTTTATCTGCAGAACTATCTACATTTGTAGAAAGTCCAGACTTTATAAAGCTTGTCAGAGCTGTCAGAAAGCAGGGGGTGGAGAGCTGAAATTTACACACTGAAGAGCTTAATGAGAGCTGATTGGATGGAAGGGACACACCCCCTCACGCAGCATACAGGAACAGAGCTGAGGTTGTCAATCACAGGCTGTGTTCTGGAGATCCCTTCCCTGTCACCTTTTTTTCTTTTGGTGTCAAGTAAACTTGTCAGAAGTCTGAAGGCAGAGGAAGGAGGCAGCAGGCAGAAATCACCCTTAGTGCTCTAGATTGGGACAAGTACACACTACAGAGGGATATGCTTAATTCACATTTTTAAACCAAAGTTTAATGTCACTTTACGTATCATTTAATTAGAATGGATGTTGTACATCTGCTTCAAAAATTAATTTTCTATGGTTGGGGAGAATAAATCTAGAAATGTACCTTGTGAAGAGGTGTAAGGCTCGTTGTAGTGCCCATTGTAGTGCATCTGGGGAGGAGGCATCATGTAAGGCTGGTGCTTTGGCTGCAAAGGTTACAAAATGTAGAAATAATATATTTGTCATCTTCGATGTTAAATTACATTTTTTAGCTCATCTCATAACTAATCTGATACAGTTTGAAAATTAATTTGCATATTTATTTTTTTTTAAAGATTTTTTTTTCTTTCTTACAAAATAAATTAATAAAAAGATACAAAGTATGCAAGTGATCAATGTCATGTAAAGAAAATGATTAATTTGTTGCATTGTTCTAAACCAGTGTTTTTCAACCTTTTTTCAGGCAAGGCACCCTTTAGAATTGTGCACAATCGCAAGGCCCACCAGGAGCTGCGTCCGAGCATGCGCTTTTTTTTGCATGTTCCCAAATGTCGCATTTTTTAATGCGCGAGATGCACAAAATGGTGCCAGCATGATTTTTAAAATTGCACAGAACCAAAACACATGGTACACCCTATATGTCCTTAGCAACTGATGACGTCATTGGCTGGTAGGACATGGGTGGGGGACCCACACAGCTTTCTGTTCTGCTGGCAACAGTGCAGATAACAGCTGGGAGGAGGAGAGAGCTGGGAGGTGGTGTGGGCTGTGCTTTCTCCCTCCTCTTTCTGCACAGGAGTTAACAGGATCATACTTTTACTAACCGTTCCATATCTGCAATCCCTCTCTGACAATCCCTCCACTGGCTTCCACTCAGTGTCCTCCCCCTCTCTGCCAATTCCCTCCACTGGCTTCCACTCAGTGTCCTCCACCCCTCTCTGCCAATCCCTCCACTGACCTCCACTCAGTGTCCTCCATCCCTCTCTGCCAATCCCTCCACTGGCCTCCATTCAGTGTCCTCCACCCCTCTCTGCCAATCCCTCCACTGACCTCCACTGTGTGTCCTCCATCCCTCTCTGCCAATCCCTCCACTCAGTGTCCTCCATCCCTCTCTGCCAATCCCTCCACTGGCCTCCTGTCCTCCACCCCTCTCTGCCAATCCCTCCACTGGCTTCCATTCAGTGTCCTCCACCCCTCTCTGCCAATCCCTCCACTAGCCTCCACTCAGTGTCCTCCATCCCTCTCTGCCAATCTCTCCACTGGCTTCCCATTGCCCAACGGATAAAAGTCAAAACACTAACAATAACATATAAAGCTATTTATAATTGTCCCCAATTACATCACCAATCTTGTCTCTAAATATCACCTAAACCATACACTCCGCTCCTCGCACGACCTTCTGCTCTCTGGCTCCCTCGTCTCCTCCTCCCATGCTCGTCTCCAGGACTTCTCCAGAGCTTCCCCCATCCTCTGGAACTCTCTATCCCCATTTATCAGACTATCGCCTACTCTGCTCACTTTTAGGCGATCTCTGAAAACCCATCTCTTCAGGGAAGCCTATCCTGCCCTCAGCTAATAATGGAATCTTCTACTCCTCCTACCAGTCCATCCTCCACAGTTACTACTTATTGTACCACTAGCCCCTCCTTCCTAGATTGTAAGCTCCCAGGATCAGGCCCTCCTATCCCTCTTGTATTGAACTGTATTGTTGCTGTATTGTATCCCGTTATATTGTAAAGCACTGAGCAAACTGTTGGGGCTATATAAATCCTGTATAATAATAATAATACTCTGCCCAGGCTGTTGCCGCGGCACCCCTGAGAACTCTTTGCGGCGCCCCAGTTGAAAAACACTGTTCAAAACACATTTCTAATGATGTATCTACATGGGGAAGCTATATGTAGAGACCACGCTCGAAGATGAACCTGTTACAGCACATATGTGCAGCAGCAAAAGGGTGGGCTTTAACACCCACACGCCACACATATGCATCCATGGGCAGCTGATGTCTCTGTGCGGTCAGCATGCTCACTGAACGCTCCCAGCACAGAGATTGAGCGGTCAAAGACGCCCTCTTCCGCTCCCCATCAGAGAAAGAGCTTGACACCGACCAACACCAGACCCCCCCACCCCCTCGGAGAGAGCCTGACAGTGATTAACAACACCCCTGCCCCCATCCGAGAGAGCCTTCCACTAACACCCATGTCAACAGAAAGAAAGACACTCACCTTCAAAGCTCTGGACACCCCCGGGAACGACAGTTGGGCTCTGCATACACCATCAAGCAGCCCACGGCCTCTCTCGGATCCCACCGGGTCCCCATGCCGCATATGTCCTTTCTTTCAGAGGGCAGTGCTGCCCCTTAAAAATTGACACCCCTAGGCAAATGCCTTGTTTGCCTTGTGGTAAATATGACCCTGGTCAGTCCCCACTAACAATTGGTTGGCTGAAAGCCAATCACAGTGGTTACATGATCGCTGATCCCGCATGCATCACTGAAGACGTACAACAGACAGACAGATTACAGGTCCTGCAACAAAAGGCAGCAGCTTATGCAGTCCTATGCATTCAGGATTTCATTGCAGTCATGGTCTTACCAGCGACATTCTTGTCGATGATCTCCGACGCACCGGATTGACAGCCTGAGTTTGCCTGCGGAGAGTGGGTTTTGGTGAGTAATAGTCTGCAGAACAGGCCTAGGTGAAAGCACTTACACAAACACCCTGAATAGGGTGACAAATGCAGATATGCAGTAATTCAGACAAACATATAACATACCCCATCTATACCACCAGTCTGGGGCCCCTACCGGGGTCAGGCCATGACCTAAATTCAGTTTGAAGCCAATACAGCACCTTGAAAAAAAGTCTTCTTCCCCCATGAAATGTTCCCCATGTTGTCATGTTACAATGTATCCCCCTCCCCTGAAATGTTCCCCATGTTGTCATGTTACAATGTATCCCCCTCCCCTGAAATGTCCCCCATGTTGTCATGTTACAATGTACCCCCCTCCCCTGAAATGTCCCCCATGTTGTCATGTTACAATGTATCCCCCCCTCCCCTCCCCTGAAATGTCCCCCATGTTGCCATGTTACAATGTATTTATTGGGATTGGATGTGATAGACCGACACAAAGTGGCACATAATTGTGAAGTGGAAGGAAAATGGTTTCCAACATTTGTGACCAATAAATCTATGAGAAGTGTGACGGCATTTGTATTCGGCCTCCCGGAGTCATTACTTTGTAAGACCCCCTTTGGCTGCAATTCCAGCTGCAAGTCTTTTTGGGGATGTCTCTTTGCACATCTAGAGAGGGACATTTCTGCCCATTCTTCTTTGCAGAATCGCTCAAGCTCTGTCAGATTGGATGGAAAGCATCTGGAAACAGCAATTTTCAAGCCTCGCCACAGATTCTCCATTGGATTTGGGTCTGGACTGTGACAGGGCCATTCTAACACATGAAGATGCTTTGATCTGAACCATTCCATTGTAGCTCTGGCTGGATGTTTTGGGTCGTTGTCCTGCTGGAAGGGGAACCTCCACCCCAGTCTAAAGTCTTTTGCAGACTCTAAAAGGTTTTCTTCTAAGATTTCCTTGTATTTGGCTCCATCCATCTTCCCATCAACTCTGACCAGCTTTCCTATCCCTGCTGAAGAAAAGCATCCCCACCACATGATGCTGCCACCACCATGTTTCTCGGTGGGGATGGTGTGTTCAGGGTGATGTGCAGTGTTAGCTTTCCCCCACACATAGCATTTTGCTTTTAGACTAAAAACTTCAATTTTGGTCTCATCTGCCCAGAGCACCTTCTTCCACACGATTGCTGTGTCCCCCACATGGCTTCTCGCAAACTGCAAACGGGACTTCTTATGGCTTTCTTTCAACAATGGCTTTCTTCTTGCCACTCTTCCATAAAGGCCAGATTTGTGGAGTGCACGACTAATAGGTGTCCTGTGGACAGATTCTCCCCCCTGAGCTGTGATCTCTGCAGTTCCTCCAGAGTTCCCATGGGCCTCTTGGCTGCTTCTCTGATGAATGCTCTCCTTGCCAGGCCTGTCAGTTTAGGTGGACGGCCATGTCTTGGTAGGTTTGCAGTTGTGCCAAAAGAGACTCTTTCCATTTTCAGATGATGGATTGAACAGTGCTCCGTGAGATGTTCAAAGCTTGGGATATTGTTTTTATAACCTAACCCTGCTTTAAATGTCTCCACAATTTTATCCCTGACCTATCTGGTGTGTTACTTGGCCTTCATCATGCTGTTTGTTCCCCTAATGTTCTCTAACAAACCTGAGGGCTTCACAGAACTGTATTTATACTGATAATAAATGACACACGTGGACATTTTTTTTTTTTACTAATTAGGTGACTTCTGAAGGCAATTGGTTCCACTAGATTTTAGTTAGGGGTATCAGAGTAAAGGGGGCTGAATACAAATGTACGCCACACTTTTTACAGATTTATTTCTAACAAATGTTGAAAAACATTTATCATTTTCCTTCCACTTCACAATTATGTGCCACTTTGTGTTGGTCGATCACATCCAATCCCAATAAAATACATTGATGGTTTTGGTTGTAATATGACAACATGGGGAACATTTCAAGGGGAAGGAAGACTTTTTCAAGGCGCTGTATAGAAGTAACACACAATTGGCCAAGCGTTAAATGATCCAGCCATGCAGAGACTATTGGACCCAATGACCTTCTATATGTCCAATAACCCAAATCATCAGCCAGGCTGGCAGACACAGCCCCCTGCGCTCATAATGAGCAAATATTCAATCTTCTGCCAAAAGCAAACAGCAAATGTTACGATCATAGAATAGTAATCACGCCCCGGCATGCTCTGCCAGTAGTGCCATGCCAATGGGATGCCAAAATGTAAAAAAAAAAAAAAAAAAAAACTAAACATAAGGAGGAGCACCATACTAATGCTGCAGTACCAGAAACAGACAGTGCAAGCAGGAGGAGAGGGTTCATTGTTGCATTAGTACAAGAGGTAAAGAATGAGGATAAATGGCAGTTACCTATCATTATATTAGTATAGGAGAGAAGTAATAAGGGTAAACGGCAGTTACTTATTGTTATGTTAGTAAAGAACAGTTGAGATCAGAGTAAGTTGCAGTTGTTACAATAGTACAGAAGAGAAAAGATTATGGTAAGTGGCAGTTGATCATTGTTACATTAGTGAAGAAGGGACAGGATGAGGATAAGCAGCACTCTTTAGTGTTACAATAGTGCCAAAGAGAGAGAATGATAAGTGGAAGTTCCTTAAAGTGACATTAGTACAGGGGGGAAGCATTCTTCATTATTGTTACATTAATGCAGGAGTGAAAGGATCAAATTAAGTGGCAGTTTTTCATTGTTACATTAGTACAAAAGGGAAAGGATGAGAGTAAACGGCAGCTCCCTACTGGTATATTAGTACAGGAGGGAAATTATAAAGCTAAGTGGCAGTTGCCCTTTGTTACATTAGCACGGGAGAGAACGTATGAGGGAAAGTGACAGTTGCTGAATGTCATATTAGTACTGAAGGGAATGGGTGAGGGTAAGTGGCAGTTCTTCATTGGTAATCAAGTACAGGAGGAAATGGATAAAGGGAAGAGGCAGCTGCTCAAAGTTACATTAGTACAGGAGGGAATGATAAAGATAAATGGGAGTTGCTCATTCTTACAACTGTACAAAAAAGAATGGGTTAGAATAAATGGCAGTTTCTCATTGTTATATTAGTGCAGGAGGGAAATGATAAGTCAGTGGCAGTTATTAATAGTCACAATTGTACAGAAAAGAAAGGGTTAGAGTAAGTGGGAGTTGCTCATTATTACATTAGTGCAGGAGGGAACGGATGAGGGTAAGTGGCAGTTCCTTGTTGTTACATTAGTACAGGAGGGAACAAAGGCATGTAATACCAAGGAAATGCCACTTACCTTAGTTCAGGAGGGAACAGATGAGGGTAAGTGGCAGCTCCTCGTAGTTACACAAGTAGAGGAGAGAACGGATGAGGGGAAGTGGCAGTTCCGTGTTGTTACATTAGTACAGGAGGGAACAGATGAGGGTAAGTGGCAGTTCCTCGTTGTTACATTAGTACAGGAGGGAACAGATGAGGGTAAGCGGCAGCTCCTCGTAGTTACATAAGTAGAGGAGGGAACGGATGAGAGGAAATGGCAGTTCATTGTTGTTACATTACTACAGGAGGGAATGGATGAGGGTAAGTGGCAGTTCCTCGTTGTTCCATTAGTACAGAAGGGAACAGATGAGGGTAAGTGGCAGTTCCTTGTTGTTACATTAGTACAGGAGGGAACAGATGAGGGTAAGTGGCAGTTCCTCGTTGTTACATTAGTACAGGATGGAACGAAGGCGGGTAAGTGGCAGTTCCTTGTTGTTACATTAGTACAGGAGGGAACAGATGAGGGTAAGTAGCAGTTCCTCGTTGTTGCATTAGTACAGGAGGGAACGGATGAGGGTAAGTGGCAGTTCCTCGTTGTTACATTAGTACAGGAGGGAAAAGATCAGGGTAAGTGGCAGAGTGGCAGTTCCTCGTTATTACATTAGTACAGGAGAGAACAGATGAGGGTAAGTAGCAGTTCCTCGTTGTTACATTAGTACAGTAGGGAACGGATGAGGGTAAGTGGCAGTTCCTCGTTGTTACATTAGTACAGGAGGGAACGGATGAGGGTAAGTGGCAGTTCCAGTTGTTGTTACATTGTACAGGAGGGAACGGATGAGGGTAAGTGGCAGTTCCTCGTTGTTACATTAGTACAGGAGGGAACGGATGAGGGTAAGTGGCAGTTCCTCGTTGTTACATTAGTACAGGAGGGAACGGATGAGGGTAAGTGGCAGTTCCTTGTTGTTACATTGGTACAGGAGGGAACGGATGAGGGTAAGTGGCAGTTCCTCGTTGTTACATTAGTACAGGAGGGAACAGATGAGGGTAAGTGGCAGTTCCTTGTTGTTACATTGGTACAGGAGGGAACAGATGAGGGTAACGGAAGTTGTTACATTGGTAAGGAGGGAACGGAAGAGGTAAGTGTCAGGCACAGACTTCCCCTGTTTAAGAAGGTTGCTCCGGCTCACCCTTTGGGCAGAGAGGGACGAGACAGAATTGGGAAACGTTGAAAGGAGAGAAGAGAAAGAGATTTCTGAGGCCCATCCACAGGAGCAGGAGGAGGATCAGGGGGGTCTCTGAGGACAAAGACATGCAGAGGTGAGGAAGAAGAAAAAAAAAGAATGCCAAAAGGATAGTTTACAGTGCCTTTATGTCGCGCTTGTTATATGTATCAATGGAAGCGAATAGAGATGGTTGTGACAGATCAAAGCCTTCCGAACTCTGCAGGCAGCATTAATTTTGTCTCGGCGCGATGCAAGGCAACACTAATGCTGCAGTGTGAACACCTCCATCCACTCCCTATGTAACTATTTTGAGTGCTGTTGGTGGTCACAAAGCAGTACAAACCTGACCCAACCACCTATTTTCAACGCCTGTGTGAAAGTGCCATTAAAATGCTATGCAGGCTTAAAAAAAACAAAAAAAAAAACAAAACAAAAAACAGTGATGTATGGATGCCAAAGTGAAGGAACTCATAATAATCAGTTTTAATGAAGACAAAATCAGTGACAGCAGAATTCTGATTGGTTACTTATTACTGTGCTATACAGTGCGTCCAGAAAGTATTCACAGCGCTTCACTTTTGCCACATTTTTGTGATGTTACAGCCTTATTCCAAAATGGATTCAAATCATTTTTTTCCCTCAACATTCTACAAACAATACCCCATAATGACAACGTGAAAGAAGTTTGTTTTGAAATTTTTGCAATTTATTAAAAATAAATGAAACAAACCCCATGTACATAAGTACTCCCAGCCTTTGCTCAATACTTTGTTGAAGCCCCTTTAGCACCAATTCCAGCCTCAAGTCATTTGGAGTATGATGCTACAAGCTTGGCACACCTATTTTTGGGCAATTTCTCCCATTCTTCTTTGCAGTACCACTCAAGATCCATCAGGTTGGATTGGGAGCGTCGGTGCACAGCCATTTTCAGATCTCTCCAGAAATGTTCAATAGAGTTCAAGTCTGGGCCACTCCAAGGCATTCACAGAGTTGGCCCGTAGCCATTCCTTTGTTATGTGGGCTGTGGGCTTAGGGTCGTTGTCCTGTTGAAAGTTGAACAGTCGCCCCAGTCTAAGGTCCAGAGTGCTCTGGAACAGGGTCTTCATCAAGGATGTCTCTGTACATTGCTGCATTCATCTTTCCTTCGATCCTGACGAGTCTCCCAGTTCCTGCCGCTGAAAAACATCCCCACAGCATGATGCTGCCACCCCCATGCTTCACTGTAGGGATGGTATTGGCCAGGTGGTGAGCGGTGCCTGGTTTCCTCCAGATATGACGCTTGGCATTTAGGTCAAAGAGTTCAATCTTTGTTTCATCAGACCAGAGAGTTTTGTTCCTCTAGGTCTGAGAGTCCCTCAGGTGCTTTTTGGCAAACTCCAGGCGGGCTGCCATTTGCCTTTTACTGAGGAGTGGCTTCCGTCTGACCACCCTACAATACAGACCTGATTGGTGGAGTGCTGCAGAGATGGTTGTTCTTCTGGAAGGTTCTCCTCTCTCCACAGAGAAATGCTGCAGCTCCTTCAGAGTGACCATCAGGTGCTTGGTTACCTCCCTGGCTAAGGCCCTTCTCCCTCGATCGCTCATTTTGGCTGGGCGGCCAGCTCTAGGAAGAATTTTGGTGGTTCCAAACTTCTTCCATTTATGGATGATGGAGGCCACTGTGCTCATTGGAACCTTCAATGCTGCAGAAATGTTTCTGTACCCTTCCCCCGATCTGTGCCTTGATACAATCCTGTCTTAGAGGTCTACGGACAATTCCTTGGACTTCATGGCTTGGTTTGTGTTCTGACATGCACTGTTACCTGTGGGACCTTCTATAGACAGGTTTATGCCTTTCCTAATCATATCCAATCAACTGAATGTCCCACAGGTGGACGCCAATCAACTGAATGTCCCACAGGTGGACGCCAATCAACTGAATGTCCCACAGGTGGACGCCAATCAACTGAATGTCCCACAGGTGGACGCCAATCAACTAAATGTCCCACAGGTGGACGCCAATCAACTGAATGTCCCACAGGTGGACGCTAATCAACTGAATTTCGCCCAATCAACTGAATTTCCCACAGGTGGACACCAATCAACTGAATTTCCCACAGGTGGACGCCAATCAAGTTGTGGAAACATCTCAAGGATGATCAGTGGGAACACGATGCACCAGAGTTCAATTTTGAGTGTCATGGCAAAGGCTGGGAATACTTATGTACATATGGGCTTTTTTTTTTTTTTCTTTTTTTGATAAATTGCAAAGATTTCAAAACGAACTTCTTTCACGTTGTCATTATGGGGTATTGTTTGTAGAATGTTGAGGAAAAAAATGAATTTAATCCCTTTTGGAAGAAGGTTGTAACATAACAAAATGTGGCAAAAGTGAAGCGCTGGGAATACTTTCTGCATGCACTGTACATTGGTCAAAGTCTGAATCTAGAGCCCAGTGGTGTGTATGTCCGTTTAACAAAATAAAGTCTCCTCTGCTGGGGTTTGTATGAGGCTTGGAGACAGCCAGCTCTTCATAGTGACACAGGGACCAGCACAGATGCCCCAGAGAAAGAGGCTCCCTTATACAGGAGGCAAGAACCTGTCTACAGAGGGAGGGGGAGAGAGAGACATGTGGCTGCCAAACCAACAAAGGCTCTCTGTCCTGCACTTCTGACATCTGTTTACATACAGAACACGTGGGATCTATAGAGACAACAGCTGCTGGCCGCAATAGCAGTCACATAGGCCGTCACCCTGTACCTAAGCTGGGTATACTCTAACAGAATTTTGAATGATGATTTGTATGAACATTTTCAGAACATTTGACCTTCATTCAAAGATTGTTCAACATTTCCTTAGCTTTTAACAATCAATTTTGGAATGAATGAATCTTACTGAATGAAAACCACATCCTGTACACTGTAAAAGATGGCCATACATGGATAGAAAATTGAATGAAAAATTTGAGTTGGCAAAGCGATCGTTTCGCTTTTCATGTAGGTAGTGTGCTTGCTGCGACGGTCTATTTCCATTTCAAGATAAAAAAATGAACAAATGTGTTGGAAAATGTTTTGGGGAAAAAAATTTTAATCATTTGTAGGTCAATCATTCAAAAAAAAAAAAAAAATTAAAGAGGTAGTAAAAACTCCGATTTTATTTTTACCTACAGGTCAGCTTCTAATAAAGCCTACTTGTAGGTTAAAGGAATATCTCCTGAGCATGCACAGTTTAGGAGATATCCAAGGGGGCAGCAGCCGATGCGGTCCGTGGTGCATACTCTCTGAAGTAACGGCATACCCGTGCCGATTCTTCAGAGCTCTGTGCCACAGCTCGCATGTGCGTAGGAGTGACGTCATCGCGGCTCCGCCATTCAAGTGGCCTCAGTCTGCAAGAAAAGAACAAAACAGGGCGCAGTCTCCTCGTGCATTATCGTGCTAGTAAGAAATTCATTATAAAAATACAAAATACACACTCACAAGCCAAAAAACAGGTCAGAAAAACACAGACAGAGTCAAAAGCTGCCAGTCATGGGCAACATAGGTCCTCGGATAAAGTGCTAACGCGTTTCAGGAGTTGAACTCCCTTCCTCAGAGCAATAGGGTTTTTATCTATCTGGCTTGTGAGTATGCATTCGTATTTTTATAATAAATTTCTTACTATCACGATAATGCACGAGGAAAGTGCGCGCCCGGTTTTGTACTTTTCACACACACACACACACATCTACAATACCACACACCACACACACAACACATCTATACCCCCCACACAACACAAAAACATCTATACACTTTTATATATTATAAAATATATGAAAAATATTTTTAAAAATATATATTTTTTTTTTAAATATATTCTTCAGATTTTTTTTTTTTTTAAATATAAAAAAAGTAATTTTAACATATTTTTGTATATATTTGTAAATGCATTCCAAAAATGTAGATTAAATGTATTTTTAAAGACATACAGTATATTTGAAACAGTATTTTTAAAAATATTTTTCATATATTCTGTAATAATAAATAATTTCAACATACAGTATATATATATTTATTTATTTATTGAAAATATATTGAATACGGCCAAAATTGTAGTATTTCAAGTATATGTCAATATATTTGGGAAGAATAATTTTAAAATATATTTAAAATATATTTTTCTTCCATGTGGGATTAAAGGATATGAAAATAGGAGGGCTTGGCAACCACCGCGGGTGCCACCGACGGCAGTTGGGGGTGGGTGCTCCTTCAGAAATAGCCAACCTGGATCACTTTTATTAGAAAGTCCTTCCCCGCTGTTAAAATTGATACCAGGTTTGCTTTAACTCCTTGTATACCAGGCTGGTGTTGGTAGACAAGGGGTTAAGGAAGTGGCGGAGCCAAGAAGGGGCCCCAGGTCCCCGATACATGGAATGCGTAGGAGACAACTGAAATCCCCTGGGCTGGGGGGGGCCCTGTACTCACAGGTTGCAGTTCATTCTGTAGAACTTGTGCCGGGCCACGCACATCCTCCACACGTATTTGGCCGTTTCCATGTCTTCCTAAGAGAGCAAAAACAGGAAAAGTTATTGGAAAAAAGGAAACGTGGATCATCCAACATCCTCTAAAACTGAAGCACAGTCCGTGAGACCTGCCAGGTAATCGGGCTGTGCCAAATTCAATCCTTAAAGGAACACTCTACTAAAAAAAAACTGAAAATTGAACCATGAGATGCACAGTGGGAGCACACCCGATCTTCTCAGTACTACGTTTATCATCTTGCTATTACTAAAGGTCACCAATCTACCCTCCCTATATACTGGAGGTCGGGGAACCCCTACATGTGACACAGGACAGGCATTCCCACTGCACGCTCATCGTTTCTGACATACAGAAATTATCAAGCATCAGCATTTCAGTTTTAGGTCCTTCTAACCGTCAATCAGATTCTAACCTGCTTTGGTATTCTAAATTTGGATTGGCGATTGAGAAAGTAGAGGAAGAAGTTACACAGCACAGGCAACAAACAATTCACTCCCAGTAACCATGGGGGGAAAGCTGTGGATTCTGGCTGTAGGGGATTATAGAGACACAGTAAACCTCAATTGGAGATTCAGACCAAATCCGCTAAATACATTCCAGGTGCGTGAAATCAAAAGGCGTTCAATGTTTAAAGACTTATGCCGGCCATAGATGGGTTGAAAATCAGCCGATTTTTCGTCCGGAAAAAAAAAAACGGCCGATTTTTGCACCGTTAGTGGGTTAATTGGTCGGTCGTTTTTTTTTGCACATTTTTTTTTATCAGTCATGTTGGAAAATTCGCTGCCGATTTTCCCGGCAATGATGGAGGAAGAGGAAGAGGAAGAAGAAGAGGAGGAGAGGAGGAGGAGGAGGAGGAGGAGGAGGAGGAGAGAGGAGGAAGAGGAAGGAGGAGGAGGAGAGGAGGAGGAAGAGAGAGGAGGAGGAGGAGGAGGAGGAGGAGGAGGAGGAGAAGAGGAAGAAGAAGGAGAAGGAGGAGAAGAAGAAGAAGGAGGAAGTAGAAGAAGAGGAGGAAGAAGAAGAAGGAGGAGGAAGAGGAAGAGAAGAAGAGGAAGAGGAAGAGGAAGAAGAAGGAGGAGGAAGAGGAAGAAAGAAGAAGGAGGAAGAAGAGAAGAAGAAGGAGAGAGGAAGAGGAAGAGGAAAGAAGAAGAAGAGGAAAGAAGAAGAAGAGGAAGAAGAAGAAAGAAAGAAGAAGAAGAAGAAGAAGAGGAAGAAGAGGAGAAGAAGAAGAGAAGAAGAAGAAGAGGAAGAGGAAGAAGAGGAAGAGAAGAGAAGGAAGAGGAGGAAGAGGAAGAGGAGGAAGAAGAGAGAGGAAGAAGAGGAGGAAGAAGGGAGGAGAAGAGGAGGAAGAAGAGGAGGAAGAAGAGGAGGAAGAAGAGGAGGAAGAGAGGGGGAAGAAGAGGAGGAAGAAGAGGAGGAAGTCTGCTATTATATTTTATATGAAAAAGTCTTGCGTTGCAACAAAGAAGTCTGCTATTAAAGTCTTGCGGTTGCAACAAATGTATCCATTTGTATCCAAATAAAAACATTGTAATTCAAATAATGTATTTGTATTGCTGTCACATTGTATGGTGTGCTCCCCCGTCTCTGCAAGGGACAGAAGTTATAGGGTTAATGCCGGCCATAGACGGGTCAAAAATCGGCTGATTTTTTAATGTTGGTGGTAACGTCGGCCGATCGAACAACCGAATTTTTCATGTTTTTATTTTGAAAAATCAGTCGATGTTCGACCATCTATGGCCTGCTTAAAGCAGGCTCATACACGGGTCAGATTTTGAACAAATTTTCTTTTGAAAACCAGAAATTTTGTGCGTTTTGACAAGGCTGTCTTAATGCATGGGTACCCCTGGGTACTGCCCAGGGGCCCCAGGTGCATAGAGGCCCCATGAAAATCTTGCATTACATTATGCATGCCAGCTGTCCCAGATTTGCCGGGACAGTCACTCTTTTTACTAAGCTGTCCCGGGATGGCCTGAGCAGCATCCCCAGAACCTGTACTGTACCCTCCTGATCCCTGTACTGTGCCCCTCTGCCTCCCCCCATATGGTGTGTACATTGGGGCAGGCAGAGGTGTCCCTAGGGTTGGTGTCACCCGGTGCGGTAACACGTGGTGTCACCCCTCCAGAGAGGAAGGAGCGATGCACTGGTAAAATGAGTATCCCTTGAAGATATGTATCCCCTGAAGCAACTGCCTATGTGCCGGTTTCAGGCCGAAGAAGCCGATCTCTGACTTTAGCACAGGGCTGGCGATCGGCTTCTTTGGCCTGAAACCGGCACATGCGCAGCTGCTTCGGGGGATATTCATTTTATCGCTACACTGGGGTGGGGGCAGCTGTGACTGTGCCGGCATCCTGCTCCTGCACCCCCTGTGATGGTGTCACCGGTGCGGGGGCAGCTGTCACTGTGCCGGCATCCTGCTCCTGCACCCCCTGTGATGGTGTCACCGGTGCGGGGGCAGCTGTCACTGTGCCGGCATCCTGCTCCTGCACCCCCTGTGATGGTGTCACCCGGTGCGGGGGCAGCTGTCACTGTGCCGGCATCCTGCACCTGCACCCCCTGTGATGGTGTCACCCGGTGCGGCCTGCACCCCCCTAGGGGAGGCTGGTAGGGGCCCCAGCGCAATACTTTGTCCAGGGGCCTATGATGTGCTATTAAGATGACCCTGCATTTTGTAATCTGGTGGTGCCCCATTGATTTTGAAATCCGACCAACCAATCCTTCAATTTCACCTCCTGCTGCTAAAGAAAGGAAATTTTCATGTCCGGGAATCTACTTTTCTTCCCAGGTCAAAGCTCATGTTCATTTCTTTTTCGATTGTATTTCTGGCATGATTCTCCCATCATGGATTAGAAATTCGTTAGATTTTCAAAAAATTGTTAACATGCCGATCATTCAAAATTTGATGGCCGCAAAAAAATCAGCCGATGCTACTAACCAATGGTGCAAAATTTGACCAAAAATTCTTAGTTAAAACGGTTCTAAAGGCTCAAGACTTTACCTTTTTCATTCTTTGCATAAAAGGTAAAAAAATACCTTCTGTGTATAGCGACCCCCCCAGAGTCCTTACTTGAGCTCCCTCTGATCCAGCGATGTTCTCCACAGCCTCTGCTGTCTGGAGACTCTTCCTTCTCATTGGCTGAGACAGCAACGGAAGCCCATTGTCAATCACAGCCAGTAAGCCAATGAGAAGAGAACGGGGGCCGGCCGAGCCGCCGCTCCTTGTGTCTCATGGACGTATAGAGCAGCAGCTCGGGGATGAGCACGCAGAGGTGCCCCCAAGGCAAGCAGCTTTTCCTGGGGGCACTGCTCGAGGAGGAGGAGCCAGGAGCACCGGAGGGGACACGAAAAGAAGAGGATTGGGGCTGCTCTATGCAAAACCACTGCACAGAACAGGTAAGTATAGACATGTTTGATATTTTAGAAAGAAAAAAAAAAAAAAGCTTTAGTGTCACTAAGATTTTCGACAGAAAATTCGATCCGAACTCCATTTATTTAAAACGGCAAAGGAATTTTTTCACTAAATTAGTCTCATATATGGAGAGAGACATACAAAAACATGAACTGCTCACCGTCTGAAACTGGATAGTTTCCTCCTTGTTAGCCAGCTCCAAGGTAAAAAACGATTTGTTATGAGACATATTAGCAATGTCCACCCACCTGCAAAAAAGAGAATTGGAGACCCATGAGATTCAGCAGGGAAATTATTTTACCCCATGCAGATTTTGTACGTTTTGCCCACTTACAAAGAAATGAAGGGTGTACCATTTTTATCATAGATGTATTTTAAATGATAGAGACAGAAGATCAACCAAAAATCCAGAAAAAACACACAATACAAATGTTATAAATGGAGTTGCACTTCAGTGAGTAAAATAAGTATTTGATCCCCTACCAACCAACAATAATTATGGCTCCCACAGACTGGCTCATGTGGTACACAGATCAGCCCTGTCAATCTAAGAAGGTGCTCCTAATGACAACTCATTATGTGTATAAAAGACACATGTCCACAAAATCTCTTTCTTCCATTCAAACCTCACCACCATGGGCAAGACCAAAGAGCTGTCAAAGGACAAGAGGGACAAGACTTTAGACCTGCCCAAGGTTGGAATGGGCTACAAGACCATCAGCAAGAAGCTTGGTGAGAAGAAGACAACTGTTGGGGTGATTATTCACAAATGGAAGAAATACAAACTAACCATCAATCGCCCTCGGCTTAGAGCTCCATGCAAGATATCTCCTCATGGGGTAAGGACGATCATGAGAAAAGTGAGGGATCAGCCAAAGAACTACACGGGAGGAGCTTGTGAATGATCTCAAGGATGTTGGGACTACAGTCCCCAAACCAACCATTGGTAACACAATACACCGCCATGGATTGAAATCCTGCAGCACCCACAAAGTCCCCCTCCTCAAGAAGGTACATGTACTGGCCTGTCTGAAGTTTGCCAATGAACATCTAAATGATTCAGAGAAGTATTGTAAAAAAAACTGTGGTCAGACGAGACCAAAATTGAGCTCCTTGGCATTAACTCGACTTGCTGTGTTTGGAGGAAGAAAAATGCTGACTATGACCCTGAGAACACCATCCCTACAGTCCAGCACAGAGGTGGAAACATTATGCTTTGGGGCTGTTTTCTCTGCTAAAAGGTATAGGCTGACGTTGCCACATTGAGAAGCCAATGGACGGGGCCATGTATTGTAAAATCTTGCAAGAGAACCTTCTTCCCTCAGCCAGAACACTGAGGATGGGTCATAGATGGATCTTCCAGCATGACAATGACCCAAAACATTCTGCTAATGCAACAAAGGAGTGACTCAAGAAGAAGCTGGTCATCCCCTGTACCGGTTTCCGCAGTCTCTGGTCATCCCCTGTACCGGTTTCCGCAGTCTCTGGTCATCCCTGTACCGGCTTTCACAGTTGGTCATCCCCTGTACTGGTTTCCGCAGTCTCTGGTCACCTCCTGTACCCTGTCCGCAGTCTCTGGTCATCTCC